ATTTTTGAGATAAGATGATCATTTGGATCGAACAACAGTCACACAGCATGCATAGATAAAGGTAATGCACGTATGATTAAACATTCACCATTAAGACTTTCCTGGAGGAGTAACGATGTAACTAGCATTGAAGTACAGCAGATATTAAAGTACAGGATCATACAACCTTTAGAAAGTGGTTGATCATTTTCAGTAGTGATTGTCAAGAAGAAGATTCTGCATTGATTTTAGATTGGTGAGTGTGGTAATTCGTATTGACACCTTCCCACTACCTCGAGTATATGAATGTCTTAAATACGTTGGAAGGAGACTGGTGGTTCAATACATTAGAACTAGCAACTGGATACTGGCAAGTTGAGCTGGATGACGAGGGCAACTAGGCCTAAGACTGATTTCAGCATGAGTATTTGCCTATATGAGTTTCAAGACATGCCTTTTGAACTGTGTAATAAACTCAGGAATGAAGCTTAGACTGAAGGTATTGAAATGAGAGACGTGCCTGATTTATGTCAATGATGATGTTTTGGTGTCTGGGTGTACAATTGAGTCTACGGCTGAAAATCTGAAAATGGTATTCCATGGGATGAAAAAAGAAAGGCTTGAAACTGAAACTAACAAAATGTGTATTCATGTTCACAGAAGTGGAATTTATCATTCATATTGTGGGTGAAGATGGAATCTTCATGAGTCTTGCTAAAATACTATTGGTATGATATTGGCCTTAACCTGTGACCAAGTGAGAGGTCTTCAATTTTCTCGATTCTATGTCTTACTATTAGTCGCTGGTGGTCAACTTCTAGGTCAAAACACGTTATCGGTTCTCACTGAAGTTAAGATCCACTTTAGATGAAGTGAGGAATGTGAGTAAACATTCAGTCCATGAAGGGTGTTTTATTAGAAGATCCAGTATTGGTGTATCCATGAAGATATTGTGAGTTATTATTGGATACTGACGCCATTTTAATTGCAGTTGGAGGATGGAGTAGAGTGTGTAATTACATATGCTTATGGAACATGAATGCAGATATTTTATGATCAAGAAAAAATTACATGTAATTGTTGTCTTTATGAAATGCTATCAACACTAATGTATGCTAGAAAGATCATTATTTGAATAGAACATGTATTGTTGAAATAGTTCATGAACTTTAAAAATCTGGAAAAGATGATAAAATGACGGATAATAGCACTGGGGAAATATGATTTAGTCATATAGTATTGCCCAGGGCCACAACATGGAAGCACCTGTGGACTGTCGGGCCATATGATAAAACCTTATTCATTAATTTAATGTCCAAACCCTGGACACCATGTGGGAATTAAAACCATGTATACCAAAGCAATGACAAACTATACAGTAGTGGATGTATGTCTCAATTAATGCTTTAGGAGCTTTTAGAAGAGCAACTGTAGGACCCAGGTCTAGCATGGGTACTCCTTGTTGTGCAGTAAGGTGAAGCATGACCAGCTCAGATTGAGGAAAGCAGATTGGGTCCACATAATCTAGTACAGTCTGTATTACTTATCCTACTAAAACGTCAAACTAGAGGTAATGGAAAGTGTGCATCTTCACCACACCAAACACTTTACACAACATTTAGCTATTAAAGCTAGATCCCTGATTTGTGTTGCTCTCTTGAAATCCTCTTAATTGAGCTACCCAATACTCCTTCAATACATTAGCCACAGACATTGCCAAAATATTAACCAGTGGATAAGTCTTAGCCCTATTCTTGAAAAGTAGTTGATAACCATGAGTATATAAAGATAACCTCATTTCTGTCTCCTGGACTGGACCAGCATTATTCAGGTTTATTCTCTCTGTTTTATCCTGTTTAAGCTTATTCTTGCTTTGAAGGGAACAAAATGTACAGTATTGACACCACATAATGTCCACAAGAATATGTGGAGTGATTAAGGTCTGTAATAGTTGACATGCACGATTTTGCACGCCAACAGCTAGGACAGTCATGTGAATGAGAAACAAATGGCTGAAAGAAGGAAGCAGTATTTGCTTTCCAAGTTTTAAAGTGATGTTCACCTACATTTCATAAACTATATTGTGTTATTTCCACGTGGTTTACCAAAGTTGGAATGGTTAGTGCTAATAGATGCAATGCCTAGTACATCAACAGATTGCATAATTGAAAACAGTTGAGATGGTGCTGTAGCGAAATTTCCTCTGTCGTTGTGCAAAAATCACTTACCTGTTCCAACTGAATAACAAGAGCTCTATGAAGAATACTGCATGGTCCTCACTCTATCATTCCCCATCCACCTGAAGAGCATATGGTTTCTCCACATGCAATGAAGAAGTTGTGTTTCTTTGGAATGTGTGTGTTGATATATGTTTTAGTAACAGCCCGAATATTAATACTGATTAACAATAATTGTAACTATAACGTCTTAGTCGGAATTCTGTCAATGATTAGTTATTTAGTTATGCCTGAAAATATAAACACGTTGAATTAGGCAACACCTAGATGGCAGCACATTACTGTTCTGCAACTGTCGAAATGTAGCCTCGAGAAGATTACTTTGAATCCGAATTTCGCGCAAAGTTATTTGAGAACTATGTGCGCTAGTCGTCCCTAATTTAGAAATGATAGACTAGAGGGGCGGTAGCTAGTCAAAACCACCCATTGCCAGCTCTTGTCCCCACAGCTGAAAGGGCGAGCATGTTTGGTGTGACGGAGATTCCAATCCGCGACCCGCAGATTGCGAGTCGAGCGCCCTAATCATCAAGCCATGCCGGGCCTAGAAGGTTGAAGAAGTGATTTATGCAAGAGCCAGATGTATCTATTAGTGTATGTGATAAAGTGTAATGATATGTATGCATAGCAATCTTTATGTGTATCAATAAATATGAGTGTGTGGTCGTACATGTATACATGAACATTACATGAAGTGTAGAATACAACAAGTGTAGAATAGAATACAACAATCAAGCAAAATGTGAATGGAAACAAGATAGGGTTCAGATATTAAAATCTTGTGATATGAAATTTACTGTGATTACTGTCTTGAATGGTATTGTTTGAAAATGCACCTATTATCGTCATTAACACTTTTGGGGAAATGTTTCAATTTTGACATTGAAAAAAATCAGCAGGTAGTGAATTTGCATGGAAAGATAAAAGAAATGGACAGTTTCTCACTACATATGAGAGAAAACATATTTTAATCTCTTGATTTCCGGTAACAGTGGTACAAGGTAATTTGATTGGATTGAACTGAAATTTTTATTAGTGAGTGAATTGAACAGCACTAATTATAATTCACAATCAGTAACTTGGATACCATGTCTAATCTGAGCTTAATGTACGTTGTGTTTCCTGGATTTAAGGTTGCATTGAGGTCTAGCTGAGTATCAGGAAGGGGAGCCCAACACTTGGCTACCTCCTCCAATAATAACATCAGAATCTTCAATAGCCCCTTTTACTGCTGGTAGAAAAACTATCATCACTAGGAGTGTGCCATTTGTCAAAGCCTCACCACCAACCACAACACTACCATCTTTGATGGCAAGGTCATTCAGAATGAATGAAGGAGATTTCACTTCGACAGCCAGACTACTACTAAGACAAATCACCAACATTGCTTTAGTAATCACCGATCAAGAGGCTTTATAAGTTACCTCAATGAAAACCGAAGGTTGTTCTACAAATATACCCACTACCATTACCATTATCCTGACTGGCAGAAGATCCAGTTACAAATGTGACAGTGCCAGGATTTCGTTTTATAGCTTTTGTTCTTTTGCCATTATCTGAAAGATAATACCAGTTCTGCCTGTGGGAAGAACGGTTGTAATGCTGGATGTTGTGTAATAATACATACAGCTGTGTCCTACAATGGTAGGTCAGGTGATAATTTGAGGTTACAACCTTCTTTATACTTGATTGGGAATGAACAGCTACGTGGGACGTTAAACTGAAACTGTCTGTTACACAATATCAAAAAGATAATTAACTTATAATTCAGTAAAAGTGTCAGTCCAGCGTCTAAGCAAATACAAACACTGTTCTAAATGCCCCCCCCCTCCCAACAGTGGTTAAGCGGTTAGTCTGAAGGCTAATAATGCTAAAATCTGGTTTCGATACCTGTGGTAGGCACAGCACATATAGCCCATTGTGAAACATTGTGCTTAACGACGAGTAAACAAATGTTATGTCCCCTGTAGGGACAGTGGTAAGTAAGTTTACGGGTTCGATTCCCCATGGTAAACACAGCAGATAGACCAATGTGGCTTTGTTCTAAAACAAATAAATTTTCTATATAGCAAAGATTTTTCATTTGTATTTTAAATTGTGTCCAATCTCTTTATTTTGTTCTCATAAACTTAATCAAAATCAGAGAGCTTAGATTTATTTCCCAATGCATATCTTATCGAATCTCCTATAGTTCAATGGAACTATCTCATCGCCCTTGGAATAATCAGTTTAACCTGAATGTATATATACCGCATTCGTACAACGTATAGTAATCCCAAAAACTGTGCAAAGCAATTTCGAATATCGTGTGAAAATTTCAAGATATGGGCATGCTTTGGATAGAGAACGTCATAAATACCCATTTGATAATATAAAACTTACAAAATTATCGCGAATTTTAATATAAAAGTGATTTAAGAGTATTTTCATACACATTGAAAAAGAACATTGCACTGTCAAGAAAGTTTGTTCAGAAAAGCTCAAGTTAGAGTCATATTACATTAAATTGAATATATAAATTTACAGTGGAATTGGTTAAACTCAGAGCACAATTTTAGAAAATATAGTAATCGTATCTCACATTAAAGGATAATAATAATAGATTCTTTTAAAACAAACAAAAAGGTGACACGACTTCTTTAACATCTTTGTACTTGCAAGTAACTCACATTTCTTTGCGCATTTACATTTAATTAGTAATTTAAAAACAACATAGACCACAACATTATTTATCTTTTATTTCGAGGCTTTAAAAGTTTTCAATAATTCAAGCTTTGCCTTGTAGGTAAAGGAGCCTTTCCAAATTGTATACACTTATAGAGGGAGAAAATTTAAGTGTAGAATTATCAGTAAAGGATGGTTTCAACTTGAGGTTACCTTAGGCTAAAGACTTCGGTATATACGTGGTGTTCACACAATCACCCTGCCATTTAAAATTAAGGACTATATTTAGGACTGACTTGAGTAAATTATGGGTGCATCAGCTGCTCCTGTTATAGTAATTACTTTATTTTGGATTGTTATTGGTGGAGTAATTCCTTGGTTTGTTCCTAAAAATGAAAATAAAGGGTAAGCTTTACAAATTCAACTTACAAGAGAATTATTACTAATACTATATAATATTAATTATTATAGTTGTACTAACTGTCTAACAACAGTAATATTCGTTAGGCTTAACGGTAAAACTAAAATTTAAAGTTTAATGTTTGGACTGGTGTAGTATGTATAAGCTTTATTAATATAAAAATTGCTCCCACGGGTCCCACTCTCAGTGCGTGTGTTTTTTTGTGTAATTAAAAATGCTGGAAAAAAAACAGCATTGGTATGAAATGGCACCAGCAGTGGGTGATCGATAGAACGAGAGGACAAAAAGTTTACAATTTGGAAACGGCAAGAGCAAGTAAGCTCCAATTCAGACGCTTTCACTTTTCTAACAGAGTATTGGAGGCTGACACTTTAAGGCCCAATAAGATTTTTATTAGTGGAATCGTTGATTTTCAGAAAAATAAAGGGAAGGGTTAATTTTCTTGGAAATGGATATGCAGACATAGTCTTGAAGTATCAAATAGTGAAATACTTAATACAAATAGTCCTTAATAAAAATTATTGCTTGAATGACATTGACGTTGAAGAAAATGGAACTGTTTCCTTTTCAAAACTGAAAAAAAACAAAACATATAGTAGAACTATATGTATTTATTTATAATTTGTATGTAATAAAAATTTTCTCATATTGTATTGTTATTATTAATATCTTCCATTATTAATGAGTCTGAGCATTTACAGTTATATGTGGACACTATTATTCATTCCTTCCAGCTCGAGGTAAAAAAAGAATTGATTGTAACCTTTTATAATAAAAATGACAATAAGTTACTATTTATATTAACTTTGATTAAATTTAAAGAAACCTTTTAGTGAAGACTAGAGAAAAAACAATTAACCCAATGGAGAATACAGCTACTTTGGTAGACTTTTCATATGTATAATGATTAGAATACATTAATTCATCTGTTGGGTACCTTTTCTCTTGGGAATATTTTTTGGCTTAATCCCAGTAACATTCCATGAGTTTTAGTCAGCTTATGTGATTTAAGCTAGCCCTAAATCAATATATCAAGCTAAGAGGGCAAAATAATCTATGTGATTAAAATATATATATATATATATATGTAATAAGAACTGAAAAAAACAAAAAAACACATGAAACATTTAAACAAAAACAAAAAAGAAGACGTGTTGTATTTGAAACCTTTCTATTCTACTATTTGAGCAGAATGCTAGCTCCTAAACAAACTTGAACATCTGAATCAACCCTACTTAAATTTTTCAACTAGAGAAAAGTTCAAATCTTTAACAATAATTTGGTTGTAGTTTAAATTGCATGAACCAGGTATTATAATACTTTACTCTCCATTCTTCTTCTTTAACGTACTGATTTCCCAGTAATAAGTGAACAAATACTGTACATACAACACGTTAGGCTCCAGACATGACATAAGATCTTAATAGTCTTATACAAGGTTACAATATCCCTCTTATTTTTTAAGTTCAAAATTCTTTAAACAAAGCTTGGACAATAGATTCAATATCTGTTGTCAGGCAGAATTAATGAAATTAAATTTTCTAAAAATTTTAGCTTAAATGAAAATTAAGAACACACTGCTAACTATGAATGTCTGAAAATAACTCCAAATTGTGTTAAGCAAGAGTAAAAAGATTTTTTTCTGAAGAAGTGGGAATTTGAAACTTACTTTAATACCTATAGGAGCTGTACATAAATTGGCCCTATGACCATATATTCTTTAAAAAACATGCTAGTTATAAGGTGTCCTGAACGAGCTACGTATTGATTTATTAGTGGAACCGAATGACTTCTTGTTTTTATTTTCTTGCTAGCAGTTTGTTCATGCAAAACTTCATCAACCTATGATGCAGATATTTGTTTGGGTGTCTTACATTTGTGAAGTTAGGCTTATGTAATTGCTAACACATGAAAACCTTCAATAAGAACAGTGTGTAAGAAGATGCAATGTGACAGAGGGCCATATACTCCTATGCAAAAAAAAAAAACAATTATGTTTACGTATTTTTATTTTTAGTACAATTTCATTATAGTCCTTCACATTTAACGAAGATTTAAGCAGTATTCCACATCTTGAATAGAAATGAGGTCAAACAAGATGAGTGCATTAATTCAGAGTTGGTTAAGAAACAATTGGGAAGTTTAAAGAATGATAAGGCTCCTGGGCCAGATAATATTTCCCAAAGGGTTTTGAAAGAGGTTAAAGATTGGATATGTGAGCCACTTACTACTATTTTTTGTCAGTCCTTGAATAGTAGTAGTTAGGTACCAGAGGATTGGAAGTTAGCTAATGTAACTCCTCTTTCCAAGGGAGGTGATAAAAATTGTCCCAGTAATTATAGACCTATTAATCTTACATCAGTTGTGGGAAAAATTTTGGAAAGTCTGTTAAAAGATGCTTTGCAAAGTCATTTAACAAAGTTTAGCATTTTATTGGATAATCAACATACTTTTATTGTGGGAAAATCTTGCCTTACAAATCTTTTGACATTCTTTGAAAAGGTTACTGCTTATGTAGATCAGGGTAAGGGTGTAGATTTGGTATATCTGGATTTTCAGAAAGCATTTGACAAGGTGCCACATAAAAGGCTTGTAAAGAAAATTATCTCTGTAGTTGTGAGGGATAAGTTAGCAAATTGGATAGAAGAGTGGCTGGATGGAAGAAAGCAGAGGGTTGTTACAAATGGAGTTCAGTCAAACTGGATTAATGTCACAAGTGGGATACCTCAGGGCTCAGTCTTAAGACCTTTGCTCTTTTTGATTTACATGAATGTTACATAGTTGAAGGAATAGTCAATAAATGATTTAAATTTGCATATGATATTAAAGTCTTGGGTGTTGCTAGCTGTGAAGAGGACACTGCTGATTTACAAAAGGATTTAAATCATTTATTGTGTTGTGCAAAAAAATGCCAGATGGGTTTTGATTATAATAAATGCAAGATAATGCATGTGGGTTATCATAATTTGGATAGGAATAACCTTAATAGGGTTATGAAGGAAAGGGATCTTGATGTAATAGTCGATCAGTCTTCTAATAGCCTTCCAAGCAGTGTGCTGTTGCTAATGAGTTTAGGTTGTGTCTACAGAAATATTGAATACAAGTCTAAAGAGGTTATAATTTCATTGTATAAGTCACTGGTTAGGCCACATTTGGACTCTTTACCTTAGGAAAGACATTGAATTCCTGGAAAGAATTACAAGAATGGTGCCTGGGTTGTCATACGAGGAGAGATTGAAATCTCTCAAATTGTTTGCTCTTGAAAAAAGGAGAATTAGGGAGGATCTGATTGAGGTGTTTAAGATTGTAAAGGGAACTGATAGTATTGATGCATCATCTTTTTTCATACTTAACAGTGAGAATAGTGGTACTAGGGGACATAAATATAAATTTTGGCAGGGTAGGAGTCATTTTCAGCTAAGACAGTTTTATTTTTCTAATAGAATGGTTGGCCTTTGGAATGGGTTACCTTTGGATGTTGTGAAGACAGTAAATTTAAGTGACTTTAAGAAAAAGCTTGATAAGTATATGAATGATAAGGGTTGGCTTTAAGATGTTTTTTTAAATTTATTTATTTTAATTTAGTTTAGAGGATGGAATAGCCGAGATGGACCAATAGGTCCCATGTTGTCCCAAAACGTTGTGACTAATAACCCTACCCAACAGAATTTTAAAATAAGTTCAAAATAACCCTACCCTTACAATGTACCACTTCAATAAATAAATCACTTTCTCACGTTTAAAACTTAACCAAAATATAAGTTTTTGCCCAAATGCAAGTCTGCATTTGGGCTCCTAAAGCTTAAACCTATTGATGTAATGGTCAAATTTGTCATTCAACTAATCAAACAGACAACCTGAGTAGCCATTGAAAGTTCTAATAAATTTGAACAGTATATCATCTTTGTCCTTTTTACACTTTGCTGATTACTAATAAGAACTGAGTGAAAAATAAATAAGGGTGTCAACCACACTATATTCAATATATCCAATACTGACGAGATCTTTGCACCAACACCTGGGCTCTTTGGGCCAGCTAGGATGTGATAGATGTAGTAATGACTGAGACACTATTGTATTAGAAAATTGTTTGACAACAACTAATATGAGCTTGATTAAGATGGTGAAGTGTAAATTTTCAATTTTATTTATATCACAACACATCAGAATTAGGGCAAGGAATTATTTAACAACCTATTCATTTTTCAGAAGAACTTATTAACCAGCAGGCTAATCTTCTTGATAGTAAGGTACCAATACTGCACACATTATTTAAATAATGCCTCATCAGAAATCAGAATCTTTGAAAAAATACAATAACCTTATTTTAAGATTCCAAGTTTTCAAAACCAATAACTTATTTTACCTTTTCACCACCAGTGGCCAAAGAACAGGTTTTTGTCCCACTGGTTATGGAGTACTGTCACAGCTTATTTGTCAGTGTTGTGCCATCCATAATTTCAAACTGTTGACAGTAGGTCAGCAGCAACTTACTTTTATGTTTGTATTTTATATATGTTATTAGCAAAGCTGGGTACTTAGAATAGTTTCTAATACAAGGAACCACTTTTCTCTTGGAGGTATGTCAGTCACACACACACACAGTTGTTATTATAGACTAGTGAAAGTAACTGGCTTTGCTCAGGTCATTAGGTTGATATATTCTAGATTAATATGTCAGTGAATGTATTCTGAACCTATTTAGCATAGAAGAACAGTCAAAAATATTTTAAACATTTTTATTTTCCAGAAACATAGTCTTAAAGAAGGTACAGTAAATTAAGAATTATTTATCATCAATGAACTTTATCAGTGCATTAAATATTTCAATTTATATTTGATTTTACAAATTTCTATCACATTTTATTGGAATGTATTACAATTTTTTACCATTTATGTGTGTGTGTGTG